CTCCAGGCCGGCCGGGGCTCTTTGTCCCGGGGCCGCGGCTGTGCTGGCGCGGGGGCGCCGGGCGGCCGTTCCCCCCTGAGCTCCCGGGGCCGGTGTTTGTCCCAGAGCTGACTTGCCGCAGGGCGGTTGTTTTCCCTAAAGCCCAGCCCGCGGCAGGGCTGTGCCTTAAGCGCGGGGGCTCGCCCTCCTTTCGGCTGGGGCAACCCCTGAAACCGATTCGCCCCGGCTCCCTTGCGGGGGTACAGGCCCTCTCCTGCCCACGGGAGCGGTAATGCTGGGTTCTCGCTTCGCGCTGGTTAAGTTTAGGACTAAAACTTTTCCCGTCCGTCACGTCTGATGAGAGAGCCGGCAGCCGGACGTGCAGAAGCTGCCGTACTGGAGCATGCCTCAGCCCCGACGAGTCCCTGACGAGTCCCCTGTGCAGCCTCTTCCTTGCTTGTTTGTTTTTTTTTTTTTTCCCTTGAAGGCTCTGGTGTTTATCGGTGTTGATCTGTTACTGGGCCGACTGACAGTGACCTGTCAGTCACTGGCGTGCTCCTAAGCTGTTTAGCTGGAGGAGGATTTTAAGTGCTATACTCCAAAGTTTTGTGTGTGTTTCAGGTTTTGTCAGTAGTTGCTGTCATCTTGGATGTTCTTACCTGTAACACGCTGTCTGTCTCGACTGTTGCTAGGTATCTAGTCTTGCTGGCATCTGGTGGCAGTGAATTTAGGTATCATGTAAACACACATTTTTTGATTGTGGGTTAACTATCATACTGACTTCAGATGAATGTTTCCCCTGCTGCCTGGTATGAGATAGAGTAAACAAACTTTGCTTTTTTTAGTTTTCTCAAGTTCTTATTTCCTTTATAAGGTAAGCAGTTCCAAACCCCAGGTTTTTTTTCCACAATATTTTCTAGTTTTAGCTCCTTTCATCTTCCTATATGTGATAATTTAAAGGTATTTTTGCAAAACACAGCATTTGCTACTCAGCCTGCTATTCTAGATGGCACTGTGCCATGATTTGCTTAATAGTTACAATTCCTGCATTATCTATCCCACATTTCTGCATCATCTTACGATTTTTGATGGCAGTTGGTTGTGGAACTGAAGACACCGATGGCTGTTTACAGTTTTATTTAGAACGTGGTGAGACATCTAAGTGGGCTTAATCTTCCTATCAATATGCCTTATTTGGCATTTATCAGTATTTAATTACAGTTGTTCATTTTGTGGGTTCCTGGTTTCCCTCAAGTTCGTTATATTTCTCTGAGCTTGACTCAATTAAATAATAGCCTTGTCGTATTACTCATCTCCATTATCTCTTTTTCCTGATCGCTGGCAAATGCATTGCTTTGTATCTAATAAGAGATTTGACAGCCTAGGTTGTTAGCCTTTGACCACCACAAAAATAGACTAATGACTCTTTATTCTTTGTTTTTCTTCTTAGCAAGTTCTTGATCTCTAGAAGTTGTTGGTTTTGCTTGTTTGTCTTTTAAGCCGTGGCTTCTCAAAAATAGTAACATAGAGTAAGCAAGAATGTAGTTCATCAGCATGTCATCTGCTGTGCCATCACTGCTTGTGTGTTTGTTTATTCAGTAACCGCAAGGTAATTCTTTTCCATTCAGTGCGATCATGCACAAGAAGTTACTGCACAAAAAAAAAAAAAAGGAAAGTGCTTGGTTAATTTCTTTGGCTGCTTTATTGTAATGTATTCTTATATTAGTTCACTTAATTTTTAGGTTTTTGTGTGTACAACTTACCAAAAGTCATAGTAAACCATCAGTCTTCTCTCCTTTTTTGCTATTTTTCATTCAAAGACAGCTAACAGTTTTACTGAGACATACTTTTTAGAGTTTATTTATGTTGGTACTGTCTCAGATGTGTCTCATTCTACTTTTAATTAGCATTTTAATCAAATTTCTAAGCATCTGTGCATGACTTTATTCCCATCTGATAGTGTAATAGTAATGATGTTACTGAGCAAGGTTTGTCTGGCTTCTGTGGACTAATATTCATCAAGTGCTTGGTCATGACCCTCTTGTCTTAAGGTTGTGGCATCTAGAATTTCTGGGTGACCTCAAATACAAGTACTAATGAGGCCTGGAGCTCTTCTGTTTGTGAGATTGGGTTCATTCAGGTTAACAGGACCCTTCATTCTAATGAGGTGAATTGATTTATGTTTCCCATTGTTTTCCAGTTTACTTCTTTAAATATTGGTGTTTTGCTGCCACTTTCTGGTTTTATGGTATAGCAGTTCTTCAGAATGGAACATTTTCACATTATATTGTGGTAGCACCTCAATCACGTGCTTGTTGAAAAGGGCTTTCTCTGAACTCTTAGATCTGAAGTGATCGGGTTGCTTCAGCCTTACTGCCTTGGCATCACCATCTCTGCAGGTCCCTACTTTTTATAACCACCGAAAACCCAGTCCGCTTTGTTTTTGCCATGGAGAGTACTAGCGAGGTATTGAAGAAAAGACACGAGAAGGGTCTCAGCAGTGTCTTTCAGCCTCTTTCTATTGATTCATGTTAGTTAATTCTGTTCTAGACATCCATGCAGCATGCAGAATGGTGAGATCTTATGAAAAACATCCATATAGCATATGGTTATAGAGACAGCACCTTAAATAGAAGAGTAACACCTCTGGTTCAGGAAGTTGCTGAGCTGTAGCTTGTTGTAGTTGGGGAGAATAATCTGA